AGAAGCCTTTAATACTCAGGGCCATTTAAATGTGGTTATTTACATCTTTAAACAATTCAGCATGGTGGGAAACCAGAGCGGACTGTTTCTACAGAGATTGGCCAGATATATCAGAACCTACATTCTCTCAGGTCCCACTTGCATCAAGCCACTTTAGGTCTACCTTAACATTTTTCTACTCAATCCCCAAATGTAGTGCTGAGCATGACACTAAGAGCTGATCAGGTATACAGGTTCCTCTCACACCAACAAAGATCCTCTACTAAAGGTGATAATTAAGTTTCCTTGAATATACAAAAGCTAAACCACAACGACCTGATAATGTCACTACAAGTTTAACAGGCACAGACTGCAGAAATTCTACTCTTAGATATAGAACATTGTAACAGCATGCTCACTTTGAAAAGCACTGAAAAAGTTTTAACACTCCCAATTAGGGGTTATTGCTACAATTTTACAAACAACACAGAAGTCCAAGTCAAGCGGAATTATTTCTGACTGGCTTCCACCACCACAAGACAGCCCATAGCAGCAGGGAAGCTTCATCTCTGTTGGTGTGAGCCAGCCTCTTCAGCAGCACTGTTGAACTCATCTAGACGAGAGTATTAAGAATTTTCATTTGCTGTTCTAATCTCAAAACCAGAAAATCCTATTTAAAGTCCATTTCTTTTCAGCTTTCAGAAAAACTAAAATTGGGGGACTTTCACAAAAGTGAAATTGAAGATTTAATTGAAATTATTCATATCCTGCAAATCTGCTTTGCACAGCAAGCACAAATTAATGAAAAGACTGAAGTAAATATGCAACTGAGAACATTGCTAGCATGAAGGATTTACCTTACACAGTTCTATAACCCAGACCCTGCACTTCAGGACTGCACGAAGAGCTGTGCTAGTTAATTAAAACTGGAAGGTTCCTATTTACTGCATGTCAGGTGAAGCACTGGACTTAGCAGGTGAAACTTTTTTTTGTTGAATATGAAGCTTATTGTCTTGAGGATGCTGACAAGTTCCTTAGGATATGCTGTATCTAATAGGAAACATCACCCATTGTAATCTAAGAAACCAAGGCAGTAGCCAGAGACGTGTCTAGTAAAATATGTCAGGCTTCTTGAAACAGCAGCAGTAAGCAGTTAACTGAATGTACAACAAAACTGTGTACTTTAGTATCACATATCATAGGTTTAAGCTGGAAGCAAAGGGCTTACTTACATACTTGTACATGCTTATGTAAACTGTAGAATGCACATGACAAAGGTCAACAGATGAAGTTATAAACACAACCACTTCACTTTAAACAACGTGAAAGCTGAGTATCTAAATACTCACAAGAACACTGTATTTCCAATGAACAGTTGTGATATTTCAAATGTGTTTCCGTTTCATTTACACACATGTATTCTGTCAGAAAAGAAGAGACAAGAATATTTACAGCAGCAAAACTTTAAAGTGTTTGAGACATTGCTCCTAAATACTTACAAACCGTTCATATGACAAACTAAACATCTTCTAGCCAGGTTAACATTAAAGCCACTTCAATATGCAGGACTTCAGTATTATATTAATAATTAGAAATTACAAAAGTTTTAGTGTTTTCTTTCACTACAGTTACTCAACAATATTTATACATGGTTATGTGCCATTTTGCAGGAACAGTAGAGCTTGATACTTTTTCTTCATAGCCTATGTCCTGGTTTCGGCTGGAATTTAGTTCATTTCCTTCCTAGTAGCTGGCATAGCTCTGTGTTTTGGATTTAGCATGAGAATAATGTTGATACCACACTGATGTTTTAGTTGTTGCTAAGTAGTGCTTAGACTAAATCAAGGACTTTTCAGCTTCCCATGCTCTGCCAGGTGCACAAGAAGCTGGGAGGGGGCACAGCCAGGACAGCTGACCCCAACCGGCCAAAGGGCTATTCCAGACCATATGACGTCATGCTCAGCATATAAACTGGGGGGAGTTGGCCAGGGACCAGTGATCACTGCTCAGGGACTAGCAGGGTATCAGTTGACAGGTGGTGAGAGGTTGCGTCACTTTTTTTTTCTTGGGTTTTGTTCCTCTCTTGTAATTTTTTTTTGGTTACAATTTAGTATTATTATTATTTTATTTCAATTATCAAACTTCTTATCAACCCAGAAGTTTTCTTACATGTGCTCTTCCAATTCTTTCCCCCATCCCACAGGGGCAGGGGGGGAGTGAACGAGCGGCTGTGTGGTGCTTAGTTGCCAGCTGCGGCTAAACCACAACAGCCTATAAAATTAGACAGTGTTTCTACTCTTTGTGGCATTTTTCAAGTAAACATTTTGCATCTCTATGGTAGCATCATAAAAAAAAAATCTTACTATCCTAAAAAATTCTACATGCAAGCAAAACTTAGTTCCAGCTTTTAAAACAGATCCTTGACCTTGAAATTGTTGAAGACATCAGTTTGTCATTCTCTGCCTGCACACCTTTCTCCCTTGACTCAGGTTTCAACCTCGCCCTCAAAGAAGTTACACAGATCTCTTGAGTGCTTGCAGTATGCGCCTGATTGGTCAGACAGCACATGCAGAATTCAGAAAAAAAGCTTCTTGAAGGATGCTCTTGTACTGGATAAGTTAGATCCAAAATTATTTTTGTCGGTTCCGAGGCATCTTAGCATTCATATATAACCTTTCTTGGTCATCTGCAATCAAGTGCTACAAAATCACCATTACAGTCAAGCCACTCTCTCCTCTTATTCTGTTTCCACCTCACATAAGAAGTACAAATAGGACTGTATGCTGAGGACTACTTATGTAGTCTTTTTACGACTTTGTCAACAGCAGCTTCATCTCCTCCAGGACTGAGTACCAGAGATCACCTAAATGTAGTTACACCCGACTCTCCTCCAATGGGAAAAACAAGGCTCTGAATGAGACCAGCTAATGCTTCTTTGGCTCTGTCACGTTCCCCTCAGCAGGCTGCAATTCTTCATTTTAGGAATACTACTCTTGACTATTCTTGTTTAATGAACTCCTCTCCCTTATCGCACTTCACTTCAGGCGTAGTGGCTGTGACCAGGTCTATGACACCACCTCAAAAGGGACTGAAGCACAGGGATGCGCCTGCATGTCAGAATCCACTCAGGACTCCTTAACAGCCGACACAAGTGACTAGTTTGTTCTGAAAACATTTTGAACCATCTGGAAAACATTAGCTTATCAACAGCACAGATTTAGATGAGAAGCCTTAAAAAATCTGGGATTATTTTGAACATGTTCAGCTGTCTCCACATAAGAGCTCGCAATGTTTTTTAACAACAGATATAACTTATGAGTTCCATTAGGTTATCAAACGGAACAGTATATGTGTGCAATGAACATTAATATAGATGAATTAGGTCTAGTTGGGTTTAAGGTTCTGCATGGCATAGTAAGGATCTGCACTGTGTAGTCCTCCTTACTTTCACATTTGATCCAGTTGCAGCCTGCTGTTGCATTTGTGCCATTATGAATACAAGAATCGCAGTCAGAAATGTTTTCACAGATGCCTAAAAAAAAAAAAAAAAATTCATTGATCAGGACAAAAAGACAAAATTACAACCATCAAAAGAGCAACTTCACCCACAGAAACAACTTGGATCCCTATCTTCCCATATGTACATCTCCTGAGTTAAGACACAATCCTTCTCACTGAACTAACTACAACTGAAAGCTACAACATAGGAATGCATTTGGCAAGACACAAATACATTTCCCTCCAAACACTACTGATACTCTGAAACCAGATCCCACATGTACACCAAGATTATGCCTCATGCAAGCTCTAACTATAGTAAACTCAGATAATAGAGGATATATTACACTAGTGATGTTACCAAAGCCTGCCAAATTAATTTTGCAGAAGTTCATTGAAACCACAGATGGCAAGAGCTTTGTTCCTTTTGATTACATTTTTCTGTTGTGTAATACAGACAGCTATAAACAATCCTACAGTAGAAAGCAACCAAAGTATGAGAAATAAAGGCAAGAACCTAGAGGACTTCATATACAAACACATATAAAGGAGAGCAGAAAGTCTATCTATTCATACTTTGATCACAGCAGAAGCCAGCAACCTAACCAGTCCTGCTGCTTTTTTATGTCAATCTCAGTCAAACTTTGTTGCCTTAAAACCACAGTGACAACACATCCGCTAGCTGGATCAAGTAAGATCTTCTCCTAATCTACAATTTTACTGCATTAGTTTTAATGAAGACTTACTCATACAGCCATCACACTCAGAAAACCCACATACTACCCACAACTCTTTACACCACGTACTCTCCAGCACATTTCACATCATATCCACCCACTCCAGGCACCCTTGGATGACCTTTCACTTTTCTCTGTTCTGCTCCATAGTGAAGGGAACGCTGCTATTCACAGATCTTTGGCAATCAGCATAATAATTTACATCTCAAGATAACAACTACAAATGCATGAACTAACTTCAGTATTCTTGTAATTCAAATTCAGCCTGAATCCACCTGGCCTTTCTCCTGGTTGTGGTAAGATCAGGCTAGAAATATTGGCACTATTTCTTCACTTTCAAGAAACATAAGATGATGTGAAAAGACGTTTTTTGGTTTGCATCCGTGAGGTATGCAACAGACTTGCCCTGCTCCCTTAAAAACTAAGGCACTTAAACCACTTCAAAAACTATACGACAGTTTCTGGATAACAGATTCCGGGGGG